TTGGGTTGCAGGGTGGGTGGATGGGTGGGGAGGGGTAGATGTGAGTCAGGGTAGGGCGCATGGCAAGGGGACCTGCACAAATGGTCGTGCCCCGTGCAAATCCTCAGAAACCCAAGTTTGACAGGGCCTGGGGAGGCTGACATTACTGACGTTGCTGCCGGCAGAGCCGAATTGGCTGGCCCTGAGAACTGTTGCGGCGTTACCTGCCTGCCGGTGCTAGCAGTGCAAGGGAATTTCAATGCGTTCATTGCTATAACATTTCCAATCCACCTGTTCGTGCAAGGTCAATACAATGGAGTCATCGCCTTCCATGGTCAGTGCTGTTGGCCAAGGGCTCAACCCTGCATCCCGGTTGTAATTATTTTCCCTCGTTTTGGCTGCTGGCTTGAAGCCAAGTGCAGAAAACTTAACGACTTCTGTAGGCAGCCCCTCAGCAGGAGCTTCAACGCTGCCCACGTCTACACTGCGATCGCTGGCCATGGAAACGCATTTTCGACAATTGTGCATGCCCGACATCGCCAATCAGCTGCAAGGCTATAATTTTCACATTCTTTGTCAGTGCAGTCCATAGCGATTTCCAGTGAAACAGTGCTGTGCTGTCAATCCAGGCGTTGGCTTTTGCACTGAGGAAGTGAACCTCTGTCGGCTGCCTGGATGGGACCGTCAGTCATATGGCTATCACGGGGACGATGGGCATGCTTTCCCTGGCAGGGGCCAAGGCAGGGACTATGGCCCAACATTCACAGCAGGTGGGGAATGAAAGCAGGTATTTCTGCGCATGACTGGGCGAACAACAGCAGTAATGGCAGCTGTTGCTGATGTATGCCAGGGCCGACACTCTGTGAAATTCAAGCGGTGTGATGATGGCAGGCACGGCAGGAACTGGACTGCTCTTGTTTTAGCCATCATTTCCTGATAGTCAGACTGCCGTCTCGGCACTGTCATTTCCTTTCTGGGAATTTGACACCTTTCTTTCCTTTCGTTTGCTGCTGTGGCACACTGACTGTGGGCCATTGCTGGGGAATGGGGGGGTGGTGGGCCCCACAAGCGTCTTGTCAAAGAACTCAAGATGTTATTGTGGACAGCGCTGACATAGCGAGGCGGTTGAAACAATAGGGCTTCTAATCGAAGCCCAGACTTTATGGAAGCTTCCTACTATTTCTGACAAATGACAACACGAATTTAGCATTGACAGCACACAGGGTTGCTGTTCATGATCCCTACCAGTAAGTTTTCGGTGCACAGGCTGGGGTGTGAACCAAGCCCTTCATTGCCTAAAAGTCCCTGGGATCGCTTTTGTCTGATTGGCTCTGCAATCAGCGCTTTGACGCTCGAGATATGTTTCCAATGTTGCAAAACGCAGAAAGGGACTGTCATGGCTTTTTGGAAATTGTTGATCGTCATATACCTGCCATCCATTGGGGAACCCCTACCTCGATGATAAAGGTCCATTGCTTTTAGGAACGGCAGCAAATTGCTGGTTTTCACTTTCCTTGCTGCTGTGGGCGCTTGTGCTTGTGTCTCCATGACAAAATCGCCTGGATGCATGCATCGGGAGGGTCTGCACTTGGCATTGCTGGTCCAGCGATTTGGTGAAGTAAAGCCTATGCAACATCCATGGAGTGATAGGATAGTGCTGCCTGCCACACAACACCAAGGGCTCTCAGCAATTTTGTTGAGTTTTGGATTCTAACGAAATCGCAGGACAAAACAAGAGGCCTCAACGAGCAGGTTGAACCAAGTATGGATTGTGTCCAGTCAGGATGTTCAGGGCCTTAACAAATGAATGAAGGACTGGAAGGCCACAAACACCGTGGTCTCTGGCATCATATGCATCTGCCAATGCCAGCTTGTTTCACCATCTTTGGTGTTTCATCAGTTAAAAAAGCAATTGCAATGTGTGGTGTTTGATCTCCTTTTGCGCCTTGTACAGGTGATGTGATTGGTGCCATCTTGAACAGGGCCGAAAAGACCATATCTTACACCAAGAATGGCATCCACCTTGGGGTTGCATTCAATGGTGTGTCTGAGGAACGGCTGTTTCCAACGGTGGGCTTCAGGACGAAGGAAGAGGAGGTAGGAGATGCTTGAATGGCCAGGCAGGTGCACTGGCAACCTGCACAGAACTTTGCATCACAGATGCGGGCAACAAAATGCTGACAACACACTAGCGCTGTTGGAGGAAGAACAATTCAGATTGGCTGTGCATGTCCTTGAACTTTGTTCTTGTGGTTGTAGACAATTGTGTTGTGGCCATCTCGTAGCAATACAGCTCTTGATTGTATGATGTTGGTTGCCCAGGGGTGTCCTCTGGGAACATCTCATGGTTGTGTGCTGTCCATTGCCCTGATGGTGCCTGAGTGTACCGTTTTAAAGTCTTTGTGTGATTGACATAATCTCTCCCTCTCAGCACGAAGTGATGCGCACTTACTGTTGCGGTTCTTGTTGATGTTTGCAAAGAACTATGGATACTGCAGAGAACAGGTGGTTTTGGCCTGGAATTTGGATGGCTTGTGGCATTGTGGATGGTCCAGCAGGTGTTGTGGATGTTGCACTGAAAGGGGGCAGTGCCAAAGAGGGTTGTTTTGTGCACAGATCAAAGTCAATTTTGGGGAGACAGAGTTTGTGGCGGATTTTCAGAGCATGTGGTCAGAACAGTGTGAGCGTGTTCTGAGCAGCATAGAGAAGGTCCCTGTTCCTTCACCAAGTGGACTGGTGAGCGATGCCTTGGTGAAACAGGAGCCGTTGTGATTCTGTGCTTGTCCATTGCCCTCAAAGACGTCTCGATCATTTCTTGTCAGAGAAGAAACACAAGACGTCTTGCTGTGTGGCAGGAAGCTGATGCCCATGTATGGCATGTTCCTATCATACAGACATTTTGGCGTTGCTCGTTTTGCACATGACAAATGATGGCCAACAAGAACTTGAAACCAGAAGCATTGTAGTGATTGTTGAATGGAGGGATTGCATTGCACACAGTGGGCACAGCGGTGCATATGACACAAGGCATGATTTCTGCCTTGCTCCATGTTTCATTCAAAACATATGTGTACAGTTCAGCCAGTTCCACACCGAAATATGAGTTGCGAGTCCTTGCATCTCGTTTGCCAAAAAATGGGAACACTCTTCCCTGATCCTTTTGCTGGGTGTGACAGGCAGAATTCTGCACATCCAGATATTCCAGACTGTTGTTGGACCACCATTATGCAAAGAACAGAAAGAACTAGGAAGAGAATGGATGTTGTATAGAAATGGCTGAGTGTTTGGATCCTTTGTGCCCAGCAGTATGAGACAGTGTAGTGCATGGGATATACCCCATCAGGTCACCCTGGTGGTCCAGCTCCCTGACCACTGTTTTTATTTCCTTCATCTGTGTTCTGGCTTTGCATGATTGACAAGCTTCTTTGGCAGTCATGCTGCTTGGTCTTGTTTGCTACAGCTCGTCAGAATCTGGACTTGCATGCACCTCTTTGTAGTGTCTTTGTAGATCCCATGTTTTCGTTGACGTTGTCTAATCATATAGCTAATCATATAGCCTGGGGCATCTCTGTGCATTGTGAGAACTCCAAAGAACATGTGGCAGTGTGTGTTGTCCTAAAGGTCCAGGGACACTTCGATGCACCGCTGCATTTGCTTCGAACTTTCTGTTTTGATATCGTTCGGTGGAGATGAGCAATGATGTGACACCATTGTGACGCGTGTTTTGGCAGGGACCCTCTGGCTGTGTGGCAGAGATCATCCTTGACTACTTGATACACCATCGATACTGGCAGGTGCGACAATTTGCTTGACAGGGTGAGCCCTCGTTATGCGAAAAGAACCACAGCCCGTTAGGCTGGTATGTGGTGTTGTACAGGGATTTCAAGTACAGGGATTCGATGCATTGGGATTCCATGTGCAGGGATTCCAAGTCAATCACCCCCATCATGGTGTAATATGTCAGTACAGTTTCATGACATTGAATCCAGTCCATGAGCTCCTTGCTGACAGCGTAGGAACACTTGTCACTTGGCTTTTGGATTTGGCAACTCAAACTATTGAAGAGCTTGCAGCACTATTGGGATGCCCTGTCTCCCCCTGTAGACAAGGTTGGGGTAGGTCGGGGTTTTCTTTTGACGTAGCATTATGTGCAAACAATATCCTCACAGATTAAGTTGCTTTGGCCCAGCAATCGTTGACACAAGGGAACTTGTCAAGGTGCCACCCGTCCAGCGTGGTGCCTGTGACGGCCACAGTAGTTTTGGGTGTTGAACACATTGCACATTTGCATTGCCCTGTGCTGGCCCAATGCTGGATTGTATTGCACTGCAATGTACTGCACAGCACCATGATGTGCCTCCACTCTGCAGCAACCTGGAGTGGCACTGGGGTGCTGATGGGGAATTGGTTTGTTCACCACAGACTGCTGCGCTGGTCGCCAGAGACTTGATGGGGGATTCCCGCGAAGTTGGTGAAGATGAGCAGAGAAAGATTATAGCCAGGCAAAAAATCTACGATGCTGTGGTCAATGGAAACATTGACGAGGTGAGCAAAGTCTGCGCCCCTGGGCTGCACCCTCCTTGTTGAAAGTGGTGCACGTTGCTGCCCTGCTCTTTTCTGTGATCTGTAGAAGGCCTTCTTTATCCTGTCCATATGTGCACTCAAAACACCCCTTATAATATGTGTGGTGCATTTGGTACAGAGAAATGTGCCGGTCACTGCCTGCACGGTGCAAAGTATGTGTCCTTTTTGAAATTTTATCCTTGGATTTGCAACATCAAGCGGGAATAAACCTTGACATTGAGATCCATGACCTATGGAGCCCTGGCTTCTTGTTCTGTTGTCAAAACTGCTCACTGCCCTTGAGTCAGACCCTGGAGCCAAATCACTGTCTTGAAGCACCAGTCAACTTTCTGTGACCTCAAGCCAAATGAGCCAAGAAAAACCTTGCACCCCATTCTGACAAGCACAATCACAGCAACGAGTTGTGCATTGTCCAGCTGCAGAATCTGGTGGAGCTGGATTTTGCACAAAGCTACATTGTACCTCTGTACCCAGTTCTCATTGGGCATACTGATACTAAAGTATTTGAGTTTATGATATGTGTTGGATGGTACACCCCTGTTGAGCATGAACTTTGCTGGATGCACCATGCACAGTGACATTTTCTTCGATTTGACACCATCTGTTTTAGAATCATTGTGAATCTCTCTTTAAATACAGTGACCTGGTTTATCTAGTGCTGCATGACTCGATTGGGAATGGAGCTCTCTGCCACTCTGTCACCATGATCATTGCAGGGAATGCAGTATATATGCTGACACTTGTGGGGCCACTGCCTTGCAGGCCCTCTCGCAAACGGACTCTATAGCGCCAGGGACGCTGGAGACACACCCACAGATTCTTTTTAAGCTCAGGTGCCAAAAATTCATGGAGATGGTAAGTGACCAGGCCTGCCACCAACCACAAAGTCATGTTGCTGGCTTCCAGAGCATCTGGAGTTTTGAGAACTGACCTTTACAGATTGAACAGAATCCCGATCCTCTGTAGAACGTACAGAACAGTGTCAAGTTGTCGAGAACCAGGCACTCAGTGCATTTCGATTGTGAGCAGTGCATATGGGTAATACAATACATCTGTACTGTACATTCAGTCCTTTGGTTGATGAAGCAACTTTGGGCACAGCCACAGGCAATGGGCATACGTGAAGTGTGATTCAGATTGAAGGGATGTTGTCTGCACATTGGTGTCATCGAACTTTTCATTCGTTCAATGGTGGCTATGGACATGTCCTAGTTGGAGGGTGCCCCTCTCATTTGTCTCCCATCCAGCCCATCATTCAACCTATCCATTGACTGTGTTTCTTTGATATTTTGTTGAGGAATGGGAACATGTCACGCATTGGGCACCCCGTCTCATGAGATGACCTCAAAGACATCTTTGTTAACTGTGAAAGTTGTGGCAGATGTGCCAAGCTGGCTGGCAGTTACCATTTCACACCTTGGTTGCGTTAGGCTCATGAAGCATGTTGGCTCCCATCATGGTGGTCCACTTTCACTATACGTTTGAGGAGAGCGCTTTCAAATGTTGCCACACAGCTGTTAGTTGTTGGAGCACAATTCCTTGTATCTCACTGCCTAAAGGATGAACCCCAAGAGATCCCAGTGAAAGCCAAAGATTGCACTGTGCTCTGCCAGCTGCAAAAGCAGAGTCACAGTCATTGGGGAAAGGCAGTTTTGAGTGTGTATCCTTGCAAAGTGGTAACAGGGGACTTGCAGCCCACCAGGCAAAGATTCATTGAGACAAAATATTGTTGCATTGCATGCACTTGGCGTCTCCCTGCTGGGTGGAGACCTGGTATGAAGATGATGCAGAACATTTCTGGAATACCAAAGTGCAGTCAACACTCCTCGGGTGATGGCAGACACTCTTGCATCCACAGCATCCCTTGCTCACATTTGCTCATTTAGTTACTGTGGTTTGTTCATGTTGTTATCCATTTGTTTATATTCATCACTTGGACAAATGGTGGCTTGACTTTTCTTCACATAGTTTTCACTGTGCATGGGTGCACTATTTTTCAGTTGCAAGGTGGCGAAGATGAGACACACGCAGCGCTGCAGTTCGGCCGCACGATCTTGACACCATCATGCAGCAAGAAGGACGACCAGGCATTCCTCTCTGAGGTACTATCGTTCAGTTGACACGCTATCTTTCGAAAATGCTGATTGTGAGGCAGTGCTGGGAAGAGTTCCATTGATATCTTCTAATTTGAGCTGACTCTGTGTCAGGTCAAACCCGTTCTTATTCAGGGGAACGCAGAGTTTGCAGTGAGCGAGGGGGTGGCTGGTTGACCAACTGCATACAGACAGCACTGTGTGTGCGCGTTGCTGCAGGTCTTGACTCTCATCGCGTACGAAGACCCAAACCAAAGCCCCTTTGGGCATTTGCTGAAGCCGGAGTACAGGAGGGAACTGGTGGGTTTGCCACAATATATGATTTGGTGCCGAACAGCTGCACAAAATGTGTTCTGATCTGTTGGGTCCGCTTTCCAGTTGTCTCACTGTGGATGTATCCATCTAGAGATACGTTCGCAGCTGCACAGCCAAGCAGAACGACTACGTTCACCTGTAACGGCATTTGGTAGGTCGTCCAAAAGTGCACTCCGTGCAACAGCGGCCAAAGTGAATGTGGCTGGTCATCTGCTCGAGATGTGCCACTGTGCATCGTCCTCGAACTTCAAAATTCTGACAAAGGACAAGGATCTGTAGGGGCATCACAGAGCACCTCTCTCCACTTTGCACGATTGAAAATCGTGTGGTGCAGGCTACAGTGTGGGTTTGTGGCCACTGTGTGTTGTGCAACTGTTAGATGGACCATTTTGGGTGGAGAATTTCAACATGAAGAAGCCTATGACTTAGTGGTACACATGCGCTCCATGCCAGCATACCTGTGGGAATATGTACAGCCAAACTGCCATGTTTGTTCCAAGCAGAACTCACCTCCAGCCAATAACTGGCAGATAGCTGGTAGAAGCCAGAGAAACTCGCAGTACTACAAACTACTGGGTATTTGGATCGAGGTGATGTTGGTCAGATGCCCTTGGAGTATGGTTGATGTGATTTGGTTGCATCAGGGCGTGCCCTAAGTACTATGGGACCTGTCTTTTACATGTTTACTCGGATATAATGCCATGCGTGACTACACAGTGTGACACCCTGCAGACTTCATATTTGGTTGACCTTTTCCGGCTGTGATGACGTCATTGTGGGACATGGGTGCTTGGAAAGCCAGATATAGCACCGGGGACGTGAGCACCCAACAGAATTGGCATTGGAACTGAAGTATCATCAATGAAACGTTATTGCTATTGGAATGAGCAGAACATTTGCACTGCACTGCCTGGCCTGCCTCGTGAAGATGGTGTCCCATATGTTGGCAGGCGGACGAGCTCAATAGTGCCATTCTTACACAGCAGGGTCGGAGCAAGCGGTCATCCCTGGAAACTGTGCACAATCAGATGGTGAGTCTTGGATTCTGTTCGTCAAGTTCCGGAGTGTGCGCCAGTGCAGGTATCCACAACAGCAGCTTGAAAATTGCACGCTGTTGAGTGGCATGCTTGTCTGGTTAACTCATATCATCAAGCAGGGTTGATTTTAGAGTTCAATGTGAGTAATCAGGAGCTCATTGTTTTCTTTGTGGAAAGCACATGAAGGCTTGTTGAAAAGGGAAGGGGGACTGCAATGCTGCGGGCAGCTGATGTGCATGTTGTATGGTGTTCCATATTGGTGGGGTTTTGTGGAAATATGCTTCAAAGGAGCAAGATGAGCCAAAATTTTGAGATCGCATGGGTGTGTTCAGAACAGAAGACCAGTGCTCACCGGCTGTTGTCGAAGAGCTGGGAGAGGATGCTGCCAAAGCACCCTGACAATGGAGAACTGTGTGCCTTAGCTTGATGTGCCATTTGCTTTCATTTGCAAACACATCAAATCTTGTGTGTTGATTTTGTGTGGGTTTGTGTGTGAGTTGTCGCATGAGATTTGTTCCTTGCCCTGGCCTTCTTTTGTGGCGCCTCACTTTGTGGTGGCATTGGTGTAGATGGCATCTTTCGAGGAGTTGAGGTCCCTCGGGGACATGCGGTGCCGATTGGTGGACGTGCGCGGGCAGCTGCTGGACGGCTTGCCGGAGAACAACAATGTATGAGTAGAGGGGGAGTCTTTCGAGCTGCAGGTGGATTGTGGCGGGCACTGTTGTGGGCAGAGCGCTGCCGTTGCGATGCCAAAGACGTGCGCCACCGGCCAGGGACAATGCCCAAATCCCACAGTTTTGACACTATTTTGGCAATTTCAGCAAAACTTGCCTTGCTGAAAGTCAAGCATTCGTGATGGACCATGTGTTGAAACTGGGACAGGATAGTGTGATCTGAGCTGGGGTTGGCTGGTGCCAATGTTCACCAGCGGGTGGCTTGGGCATTGCAGGGCGCGCAGTGCGAGGGGCCTTAGGATTGGCAGGAGAATGTCAGCGGAGTGTTGGAGTTCATTTGTTCCTTAGACGCAGGCGACATTATTAGGCCATGTAAACACCGTTGGCTGAACCGTTGAGCAGGGGTGCAGCGAAGTACAAGGATGACGTGCAGCTACTGGCATTGCTGTAGTGCTGTGGCAATAGTACTGCAAGTACAGCTGGTACTACTGCTTGTACTTTGGCGCTGGTGCTTTCATTAGCACCCGCACCAATACCACCAGTTGCTGTAGCCCACCTGCCAAAAAGGGCTGTTGATGAAACTCTTTTGACACCTACTGTTTGTATGTTTGTTGTATTGTTGAGGTATGTGCCACCTAAGTTAATGTTCTATACGGTTGCGTTGTTATTATGCTGTTTTGCGTGCACTAGTAGGGGCCAATTTTATTGAATCAGAAGGATGCCCATGCACATTGCTCTCCATGCATTCCAATCTCCCTAGGACATGGCAGCGATGGCAGGAAGAATAAGAGTGTGACACCATGGAGCCGTGTAGGGTTTGGCAAGAAGCAATGGTTTGTATCGTGCAGATATGCTGCACGAGGTGCCGGGTGGCGCAAGGTGTTGTGAACACCTTGCACCTCAGTATTCCAACGTCTTGGCGTCAATTCCTTTTTCTCTTTCTGGATGGTTTGCACGATTGGAATGCGTAAACGACAAATGATTGCGCGGCAATCACACCGCTGGATGAGTGGAGAGCATTTGCCAAGGCGACCATCACGAATGACTGTGCTTTGTGCACACTAACACGAAGAAACCCTGGCAACTGTGATGTTGGCACCGCACTCCTGACATATTCGTTATTCAGTGGCCTGAAGGGAACTGTTGTGTGTTGCACCGTCGCTGGCTCCCGCTCTTGCCGGATGTCTGACGAATTCACGGTCAGCGCCAAATTGATGAAGGAAATTCGGGCGGCATCAATGGAGGAGGGCGCCAAACAAGCGCTGCGTGGTGCTGTCCCTGTCCCTCCATGCATCCTCAGCAGCAGTCTACCTTTGTGGCTCGCGTTGCGCGTCAGCGCAGCGACTCTTTAAGCCACAGGGCCTGTGGTGGTTCGAAGGTCCTCTGTGGCTTCTTCGGCTCGTGAGCCACAGCGACTCGCTGGTGCTGTGAATGCTAGGATCCGATAGCAGTTTGAAGGCCTAGGGAAGTCAGTAGCCTATACCACGGAGAGGCTGTCTGGTTCCGGGTTTTCGCATGCGCCAACAGCTTGGTCGCAAAGCCCCAGGGGTTGGGCCCGGGGCGGCTGCAGATGGTGAGGGACTGCCGTATCTGTGCAGCTGGTGATATTCCATGTTCGTGAACGGGGAATATTTGGCCAGTGCCGAATCCTCATTGCGAGGAAGTCAGCGTGACAAAATTGCCACAACATCGTCGCACAAGGCCGAGACGAGTGCAGCCTTGCAGTACTAAAGGCAAGTCCAATGTGCTGCTTGGCATTGCATGTCATTCTCTCGCAGATACAGAGTACCAACACGAGCATCAAACTCTGCACATTAGGGAGTTAAAGCAACCAACTCGCCTAGACGAAGACACCTGTCCAGCAACCAGGAGTGGGCAGTCGACGCCCAGCCTCACAGATCCAAATCACTCGGCAACTACACAATCCTGCTATCCCTGTCGTACGATTGTCAGGTCTGCCAGCACACAGTGTCAGCTCATGCACCATGTGTCAACGATTCCACCCGTAGCTAGTCATCTTCAACATGCTTCAACGTAGCAAAAGCAACATTTTGAGCCAACACCCGACCGCCAGGCGTCGCCGAAAAGCGTAAGTTCGTGCAACAAACATGGAGCCGCTCCTGTGTTATTTTTCTCTTTTCCTGATGTATTGTTTTGGAATTAAGAAAGAAACGAAGAGGCATTCCCCTTGCTCCCGAAGCCGCCGTTCGAATCATCCAGCCTGGACGCATCGCCCTGACGATGACTCACCCATTGCCGATCCACATCTAGCGAATCAAAACTCAGATTCTTAGGAGAAAGTATCCACTTCCAATTTGGGCACACCTCCATCGATTTGACAAGGGACAGCTGCGCTCCATTTCTGATGACCGGTCTATGTGCCAGGCTCTCCAGTCCGACACTGTCCGAGGTCCCAAGAGGTCCCCCGTTGCCCCAAATGTTGGGGCACACCGCCACGTGCGGCTTGAGGCAACGCAGCAGCCAGCCCCCAGAGTGTCGTGCGTTCGGCACCGCACCGCCCTCCACCGCCCACCACACGTCAACAACGCCTTCAACACCCTCTTGCGCAACAGTCCACCAATCCACCACTTTCACAATGCACTCACCACCACACACATCGACTGCGCGTTCCCTGCCACCAGGTTTGCACCAAAACTTGGCGCTCAACATCGCATTGCTGCAATCAGCCGTGCTTCTATGCATCCTTCCATCCACTTCTGCAGAAAAAAGTGGCACAAGCAGGTACTGCAAAGTGCGAAGCCTCATGCTGCTTTTCTAGCAACAGTGTTGTGAGGGATGCAGTGCAGTACTGCGTCCCTCGCACAAGGTTCCACCAAACTCACCACTCGACATCACATTCATGCAATCTGCGGCGCTCTTGCTCATGTTTCCCTCCTTCTCTCAAGAGGAAAATTGACTCCAACCGCAGATTCACAGCAAGCTTAAAATGGCAACCCTGCAACGCGCTGCGCCGTGAAACTGATTTAACACAATACTAAGAATACTGAGCGAGGCACACACTTCCTATCAAGACGCTATCGTTTCCTATAACATGCTGCAAGATACTAAATTTGTCACACAGCCTCATCAAGCCTTCCCCTCCCCCCTGCTGGCCACCATCCTCAGCCCCCGTTCGAGCCCCAACGTCCACCTAAACGTCGCCACCCTCGACCCGCAAGCCTTCGCCATTCCAAGGCACAATAGTTTCTCCCCACACCCCGTCACGTCCCGCCCTCCCTTGCCCATCGACTGCGATGGCGCCAAAGCAACCAGCGTCAGGTGGCATTGCAGCTGGCATCGCAAAAGGCAATTTCCAATGGCGCAAGGTGCCAGCTTGGCACCTTGGAATCTTGAAGATTGCCACACCGCCCTCTTCAAGGTGCCAAATTTGCCGCACATACCCATCAAGCCTTGTCCCCCCTCCTGCCGGCCACCATCCTGAGCCCCCCCTGGAACCCCAACGTCCCCCTAAACGTCGCCACCTCGTCCCCGTTGCTCGACATCCCCGGCGCCAGCCGAAACGCGCTCTTCGCAAGCAGCGCCGCCAGCGCCGTCTGGACCTCCGCCATGGCCAGCGCCTGGCCCAGGCAGGCCCGGGGGCCCGAGCCGAAGGGGATGTACCGCTTGCCACCCCGCCGGCCCTCGGAGGCGTTCTCGGCGTCCCAGCGTGCTGGGTCGAAGGCGGCGGGCGCGTCCCAGTTGGCGGCGCTGCGGTGCACGGCGTAGGTGGGCACCCACAGGGCGGTGCCCTTGGGTAGCAGGTGCTTGCCGACCTGCCGGACCAGTCCGGGAGCGCTCTCACAATGGATTCACGTAACCTTTTGTGGAAAATTTTAATCTTAAATTCTTGGAAAATTTAGAAATTTTCATTTAAAGGGGTATTTTATGGACAATAACGACATTGCGATGATGGCGAATAGTCAGATGGTCAGCTTCGTGGAAGCATTCATGAGTGCGCGAAATGATTAATGCATGAATGTTTCTTTCTCTGTGCAAAGTGTTCTTGTCTGTTGATGTATAATTGTTGCCAAAATTAACAAAGATTAGCACACAAAACGCTGTTGGAAATGTTTCGTAAACAATAACACACGCACCACCGTCTCGATCGCAGAGTTCACAGATTTAAAGTACATGCAAATCAAGATTAGGGTGACACACTGTGAGCTTGAACGCAGATAATGGCAACTTGTTGCATCGCATCTCCTTGAGTGCATGGAACAACGAAATCAGAGCCTAATCAAGCCACACCAAACCGTGCTACAAATCTGCAATGAATTTATACTACAGGCGGCGGTGCCTTTCCACAACACGTGTCTTGCCTCTTATCTTTTGCCTAATTTTTTTGCCCTCTTCCTCGATTCGTTTTCAAAATAGCGGTCTAAAAGTAAAGTGCAAAGCAAAATCGTAACTCTGAATGTGGTCTTTAAATGCGTCAGAGTCGACATAGACACAACGACAGCTGATTGCCTAATCACCTTACCTGGCGGTCCTGATTGAGCTTCCTCAGCGTCCCCGTCGGGTTGGCTGGGTACAGGCGCATGGCCTCAAGGACCACCTTGTACAGAACCCTAAGGCCCATGACGTCAGAGTACTCCAGAGCCTCGGCATCCCATTTCTCCCCGATCCGCGCCGCCTGCAGCTCCCGCGCAACCTTCACCTGCCAGTTGGGCAAATGCGCTCATGTAAATATCGCAAGGGCACAAATGAGCAGCCTGTTCAAATACCACAACGTTTCAACACACGGATGATCAGCCATGAGCAACGGCCAATCATACAAGGTTAATTGGAGTGGTGAAAGGGTGGCTTCAAACAATAAAATAATTCACTTCCCGGTTGTTCGATAATGGACCCATGATATATCAGATTCAAGCTGTGAAGATACTTCGATCGTATTGCCACAATTCCCTGTACATACCGCTGCTGAAGCTGATGCAAGCAATTGGTTGCAAGCTTCGCACCTCTAGAAGTTTGTGGGCTCTTCTGAGCAGTCTGCACAATTCGAATATGTCTGGGTGCTGTCTCTACATACAAATATATATCGTATACTTCGTACAACGAAGTATGTCCCGCACGGACAATGGACAAAGGACACTGCCGAAATCTCGTTGGGACAGCAGGCCTTCACCGCACATTTTTGCCTTTGGGTCAGTGCGAAGTTTGCACCTTTTCAGCGAAGGCACCGCGCCAAAGAAATTCACCTGCCAGTTGGGATGCGTGGCCAGGCAGTACAGCGACCATCCAATCGCCGCCGCCACCGAATCATGGCCGGCCACCAACAGGAAACCGATGTGCGCCTGCAGCGCGTCCACGTCCATGCCCTTGACGGAAGCCAGTGCCGCCCACAGCTGGCGCGACTCCTCTCCGGGTGCCACCGCCTTTGATTGGGTCAGTTGGGCCATGAAGTGGAAGAAGTCGGTGAGCCAGGCAAATGAGTCCGAGGAGTCGGGCCCCGGGACCCCGGAGGCCGGCCATTTCATGTCGCCAACCGCCCTCGTCATATGGCGGCTAGGGTCGATGAAAGAGGAATTAAGAATGTAAAACAACGAAATGGGAAATCGAGGAAAAATGGAAAAAAGGCATTGAAGAAAAGCAAAATGGGTTCTAAAAATAGTCAAGTGAAGAAACTTGAAAATACATAAATCGCAACAATAGCTGGGGCATGCTGCTTGCCACACATTGGGACCGCACGACGCTTTGGACATGGAAATCTTTGTCATCTTGCTTTGGGGCAACGGCCCCGAACACTACATTCAAAGGATGTAGTTTTCCATTGAACTGCGGTTGCAAATTCCTTCCATTACATGCAGTTCAGACGTTTTAATTGACGCCTGATGTTAGACCATACTGCAAGTAAAATATATGCATGGTGCAGGCGACGACGGGTAGATATTTCCCAGAATTGAAAGGCAACTGCTTGATGCCGCTCTCCAGCCCAGCAACGCGACGCGTATACCACCCCCAGCGACTACGCACAGCTCAAGTCCACATCGAAAATCAAGCGCAATAGGCGCTCTCACGCCCGTCTTACCTCAACTCTCCCTTGTACTTGTCCACATCGATCCCGGTGTTGAAGAAGACCCTGAGCATGACGGACAGCGAGTACTGCCTGAACAGGACGTCCATCTCCAGTTCCTGCCCTTCGGCAGCGCCTTCGACGAAATCCACGAGTTGCTTAGTGCAGCCGACTATGCCAGGGTATGCCTGCCTCATGTTTGAAATCGAGAAGGGGTGCTGCAGCTTCCCGCGCATGAAGCGCCAGTCAGGATTGGCGCCAGATGACAGGAATGCAGTTTTCTTGGCGCCCTGGACGCAGAGACATGCGATCGCATTGAGTGAAAAATGATAATCGAATGCCATCGTTAAATAAATGCTGTTGCTTAATGAAATTTCAGGCAATGTGCTGGAGATGTTGTAGACGAACGTTAAAAATGTGCCCATAAGGCGGTGATGGAGACAATTCCAACAATGCTGCTTTTTCGAAAGAAGCTTTGGACGCAGACGGTCGATTAGGCGAGGGACCACTGGCATCGAGTTCCTCGCATTGCACAAACGAAAAGTTACGTGGCGCATTTCAATTGCGCAAAGTGAATGGGGTGTCGTGTACACAGTATCAGCAACCGGCATTAAAATTGCGTTGAATCGCCACCCCCGGATACTATTCCGAAAGCCTATCGCCTGTACTTTCCTCGAATTTCCTCGAGCAGGAACCGCCCCCAAATTGGCACGCGCTGAGTGCCCAAGTGCAGCGGTGGGGTCGATGACGTGCAGCAGGGTGTTAACACCCACAGCACCGAAGCACGTAAGGGCCGCACCAATACGTCGACAGCAATATCCATTGGCAACCTAGATTGGCAACAGATCTGGCCAACCGATCTGTTGGCCACATTCCCATGGGTATCCGCATGATCGAGGGCCCGCGAACGTGACCTTGCACACTAGTGGGGCCGCAAACATCCCCCGCCGCTGTACACCCCAACAACCGCCACGGGCGCCGGCACCATGACCCCCCCGGGTCCGCATGGTGACGGATCGCCATGAATCGCTCGGGCGCCCCGCGTGGCGCACTTGCGCACGAACCGCGCCCCTCTCCCGCACCCTCTCCCTCAGGGTTGGGCCGCTCGATATGCGGCTTCGCGTCATCGCCGCATGGATGATGCACCGAGGGCGCCTTGATCGCGAGGCCAATCAACGCCAGCAAGCGCCCCTTCGCTGCAACAACCCATTCCGACACCTCCCGGCAAGCTGCCAGTGCATCGCGACACACCGCGTCCATGGGCGCAACACCAATCGTTTCACCACCACCCCGCAAATCCTCCCCGCAATTGCGTCATGACACCGACGTCGTTATGCAGCCACCGGGGCACGCCGCCCCATTCGTTGCACCACGCCCCTCCGACCGCTTTGCAAGGCGCAGCGGCCACGCTGCCCCTTTCGAAGCCACATTCAACAAAGCCGCTCACCCTCCCCCCCCTGCCAGGCGCAACGGCAACGCACTGCTATCAGAAAGCAAATTCAAACGCAGCCATTCACCCTCGCCCCCCTACAAGCTTCCAGCGCTTCCGTATAGCCACTCGAAAGCACATTTGACCAGAACAAATTCACCACGCCCCTCCCCACTCCCCCCTTCGAGGATGAACCCTCCGATTTCGTCACCCACCAGGAACGGCCACGCGGCGTACAGATCCTCAAATTTGTCATGCAGGCCATCCGCCCCCGCCCCAAGCACCCCCGCCACCAGCACGGGGTCCGTCACCGCCACGGCGTGCTCCCGCCCCAGCCGCAGCCTGCACACCGGCCCGTACTTCGCGCAGTATTGCGCCGCCCTCAGGTGCGGCTGGGACCCCAGGCCCACGTAGCCCAAGGGGGCCACCACGCTGGGCCCCGGTATGTGGGCCCACTTGCGAGACTTCGCGAGATCCCACAAGGCCAGGAGGCAGTAGGCGAGGAGGGGGATGAAAAGTGTGGCGGACGCCGCTATCATGAGAAGGGGGGCCATGGCGATGTGTGGGGCTTGCAAGCTTGCAGCCCAAAGCGCAGTGCGGTGTTGGTTGCCGTTGCGCGGGGGAACACAACGGTTTCGGTTGTGCGCACGCTTTGTGCGCTTGAGCAAGGGGGGCTTGCGCGGCACTCTGTTGGCGAAGGGTGATGCTGGTCGGGTGGTTGGCTGTGATCACGTGTTGGCGGGGCGTTCGGGAGTGTGGGGGGGAGGGATGCGATGGGACTGGTCGGCTGGGCGCGCGATGTGGGTGTCGTGGCTGCGTCATGCTACGTCATGGACTGCCGTGGGTGAAATAAGATTACTGCTTGCACCAAGTCACGTGCACACTTTGTCCTAACCTCAGTTTTAGGGTTAGGTTTAGTTCAGGGTGCGTTTTAGGGTTAGGGTTAGGGTTAGGACAGGTTTAGGTTTAGGTTTTAGGGTTTAGGTTTTAGGTTAGGTTAGTTTTGACGGAGTTGGACATGATGTGCACGTGACTTGGTGCAAGAAGTCACCGTTTTCGTGCAAGCAGTCACCGATTTGATGCAGGGAGTAATTTTATGCCGCCGTGGGTGGGGAGGTGTTGTCGGACGGTGGGGTGCTGCGTGGCCGTTTGTTCGGTGCCCTGGTGCTTTGTGCACGGTGCGTGGCAAGTAGACGAGGTCGATCCACCGCGCCACTGATCGTGAGCTGCGTCCCTGCTGGCGGCGATGAGATTCAATGAAAATATGCCGTTGGCTTAAGGGAGGACGGCGCCAAGTCGTACGCTTGTGCCAATATGTGGGCACCCTTGGTGTGCGCACGTGTGCATGGGATGTACATGCTCATATGAGGATGCCATTCTCATGGGTGCACACATGTGCACATGATGTACATCAACGGCGCTTACAGATTGGAACACGTCGTGTCATTCGAGGTAGGGAACGAGACGCACGTCATGCATGATGCACAAGGCGCACAAACCGGGGCCGGTCATTCACCACTTCACGACCAAGGCAGCGAATGCTCACCAAGGCGCTGCAACGCCATCCTTCGGCGTAGGTGTGTTGTGTTGTGGGTGCCGTCTCCCCACTGGCCACGCGTGCATTGCCCGTGCAGCAAAACGCTCACACCAGTACATCCACACCCTTCACAGCAACGTGCGTCGAGGCGACGAGGCTCCGATGGCCATCGGAGTCGCCATGGCGCAATGCTCGGCCTGATTTTCGTCTGAGCTTGCCAGTGAACACCCCTTTGAGGCACATCATCCGGAACACGTCACAGTCTCACGGATTCCCGCTCATCCCAGGTCGTCCGGATACCATCCAATGCGCCCTCGGCGCGACTGCGATTCCGTCGATTCAAGTCCTGACGTGTCGCTGCATCCCACCATACATGCGGCAGGCTTGTCGGACACGGGACACATCCTGATGGCACATGTGCGAGGTACCGGTACATCCCCGACGGCTGCAGCTGCTCACACGTCCCGGGACGATCGCCGATGCATCAGTCAACTTGACCAACGTCGGGCGCCCGACGCCGACACCGCCTTGAACAACGCAGTCCTGGGACTGCAGCGGGCACTCCACCACAAACCGCCGTGCCGCGCTTTGTCCTTCACCGTTGCCACCCGGTCTCTGTCCGATGTTGCCCATGCTGGGCCCCACATCACAAACATCTTCTGACGCCACAGTGGCACTTTTGCAGAATTGGATGCGATTGGTAACCACCGACACAGTCCAGTGTCTGTCCCCCTGCCCACGCCGGGCCACATCACGAATATCTTCTGACGACACATATCCCCCCACCCCACCCCACACCCCACACCTCTTCCAATTGGGATGCGATTAGTACTCCCAATGCTGACCCTCGTACCATTTTGCGCCACCCGGTCTCGATCCGATTTACTGGGCACTGGCCCACATCACAAGTACTTCATCGGTCCCAAATTAAATGGCAGTTATGTTCTATGGCCTTGGAAAACCCACTAAAACATTCATAATGTTATCATAAATTGTTACAATGTTTGAATTTAGGCCTAGTTCATGCTTCCAAAATTTTGAGCCAATCGGCTAGGTACTCAGTCCTCAATGCCATTCTAAACAGACCCCACTTTTCTGGAAACACCCCAGTTTTTCAAGGTGGCGCCGAAACAGGCTGTTTTTTAAGGCCCTGGACCATGCCATGTTGCGGTGGGCCCCACCACGCGAAGTGATAGGATTTGGAGACGCGCTTTAGACTGCAGGTCGGAGAAGAGACACAGAGGCGGAGGGCAGGCCGCCGGCGCATCCAGAAATGCGTGATCGAGGATCTTGCCCGTAGATTCGAGACTTTGTGGTGAACAATTGAAACCATCAGTAAGCCGTTCTGGAATGCAGTCACTGATCCCGTGGGAATGGACTTGTCCCATGAATGGCAAGGGAACTGCAGACATCCCAAGCACAGGGAGAAAACGGCATGTTGGCGATGCCAACTGCGATGCCATTTTGACACAAAATGATTCTGTCACAGTGATTTCGATGGCATAAAAACGGCTGCGATGGCATCAATTTGTGTCAAATTGCGTCGCAATTGGCATCGCAAACAGACTGCTTTCTACTGGTGAAGACTTGGTAGGAGTAGTTTATAGGGAGAGTTGAAAAGGTCGCCCAGGACAACCGGCGCGCAATTGGGGGAAAGGCGATGGAGGCAAGCGGCAGGCGAGATCTTCGATCACGCCTTTCGGGAAAAGCTGGGGGCCTACCCTCCACTGCTGTATCTTTGCTCTAACCTGCGGTGTAAAGAGCGTCTCTAAGTCGCATCACTTCGCACGGTGAGGGGCACTGCAAGGTCGCATGGTCCGCGGCCCCAAAATGGTTTGTTTCGGAGCCAACCTTGAAACGCTTGGCTGGGTGACGTGCATTGAAGATGACATTGCAGATTGAATACTTAGCCAATTGGCTCAAAATTTTGGGAGCACAAGCTATATTCAAGTTGAAAAATTGTGGCTAATTTTTGTGCAAATCTAAAGTAAATTGATAGGTTTTCAAGCCCACGGTTCATAACTGTAGTTTAATTTGGGATGGAGGAAGTATCATCTGTCGCCACGCCTCTCCCCCACAAATCGGCACGCGATTATTACTGCCATTTTCTGACCCTGCTCACCTACAACTTGCAGCGCGACTACCACTCCCAAGCACTGACCCATGTACCTGCTCCCGGGAAATTCGGCACGACATCAGCAATTCCAAGCACCGACCTGTGCACCAGCTTGCGCTGTCCAGTCTCGATCCGATAGCCATGCTGGCCCACATCACCAGCGTTGTCTGAAGCCACATGCACACTCCTCCCCTGCCCCTGCAAATTGGCGCGCGATTACCACTCCCAACTGCAGACCCTCGCACCTGGGCGTGACATTAGTCGCCCCGTCTTTTCGTGTGGATACCGTCTTGTTTCCGGACACCCTAAACCGCACTGACCGGCGCTGGCCTTGTCAGCGGAAGCAGAAGGGATGCACGCGGAAAGGACAGAAGGACTAATATAGTCTGCTCGCGCCTGCTCCCCCGCAAATTGGCACGCCATTAGTATCTCCAAGCGCGCCATCCGTACCTCCGAGAGCACCGTTAGTACCTCCATGTGATGGCCCGCGTACCCGATTTTACGCCAAAAGGGGTCACCCCACGCCGTTCCCACGCCCACCGCGAGCATGCAAATCACGTGAGCTTCCCCTCGTCTCCCCCTGCCAGCAATACACGTCCCGCACCGGCAGGCCCAGCGCCAAATTATCCCCGCTGCGGTCGGCCATGGCCCCCCGCCGACCCGTCCAATCACCCATCCACTTCGTCGCCGAATCCTTCGGTCAACCGCGGAGCCAGTTCTGTGGCACAGGGGTGGCCAGAGGCGCGCAGTGACATAATGAGGGGGGCGAGCGCTTGCGGTCGACTGGCTTAAAGAGGCCGGGGGCCACGCAGTGGCAAGAAACTACCCTGGCGAGGAGTTGCAGCACGGGGAGCCGTCGTTTGGGTCCGCGGCTCGGCCGCCTCGGAATACCGAGCGAGGTGGGCAGTTTGGGCGGCGCCGCGATGGGCTGTGGTCGCGCTGGGAGCGCGGTTGCGGGAGGGGGGAAGGGAGCGCGGAAGTTTGCCTGAGGATTGAAGACCGCGTGATCACACTTTTCATCGGGGGCTCCGGACTCGGCATGGGCCTCGGCGCGGCCGCTGGGCGGTGCCGCGTTGCTTTTGTGGGGCCGAAGGCTGCACTGTTCCCAGGGCGGCGGAGTTCTGCCTCTGCGGCGTGGCCCACGGGTCAATGGCCCGCTGGCCTCCGGCGCCTTGCCCCTTCGACCCGTTTGAGCGCGGACAGCCGCAGATCGCCGAATTGCGATCTACGACGGGCTCAGGAAGCGCCGCAGCTGCGCCGCTTCGCGGATCTACCCATTTGCTCGACCGCCGCTTGGGCTCAAGCCCAGCCATGAGCCAGTCATATGCCATGGGGCATCAGCCCGCGAGCGAAGCCTGCGGTTCCAAAATTTTTCGAAACTACGGCGCCGTTTCCTCGCCCAGCCTTTTCAAACCGGCAGCAGGCATCTCAGCTATGCAAAAGTGCGCGCCCTTGGGCCAAAGACTGTTCGGCCGCACACCCCGTTGCGCCGCGCCCGTGGTTGTGGACCGCGCACGGCTGGGGCCGGTCGAGTGGTTGAGTCAGTGATGGCTAATGCACATTCGAGTTCTGGTGGGGAGGCGATGCGTCCAGTCAGCGGGCAGGCAAAGTACTGGCCAAAGCCAAAGTACTGGGCTCCCAAAGAGTGAGCAGGAGTCCCCTGCGGCTGCAGTACTGCGCTAACATACCAGCCCTTGAATCAGTAGGGGGGCAGGGGGGCAGGTGCAGCACAGGGGCTGGGGGATGGGTGCGGCCTGCAGGGATGCAGGGAAAGCTGTCCGATGCACGGAGCCGCGTGTGATAGGGCATCGTGTGGTGCCCGTCGGCCGCGTATGGTTGATCCGGGCGCTTGCGGGGACCGAGATGATGAATGGCCGCCTGTATTTGAAAGCTCGACATGCTCTCGCAGCATGTCGACCTCCACGCATTGCCGTCGGGCGCTTCGGACGCGTCAGATTGTCGGGCGGCCGAAATGTCAGCTGCCACTCTCTATGCTTTCGTGCAGATGATGAGTGGATTTGAGGAAGGGACTGCCCTTCGTGGCTTCAGCGATTGCTTCAATATGGGCATAAGCTTGGGTTTGGCAGCTAAGGTCATCTAAACCATCATGGCATGCGTTGCAGTACAGCGAAGTGCTCGCATTTATCTGTCATGACCTCTGCCTGGCCCGCCTAGTAACTTCTTTCAAGCTTTGCATGCAAAAGGAAGCCCGCCCTAAATGCAGTTGTCGGCCACAGATGCACGTGTCGACAAAGTGCTAAACAGAGATAGAGTTTGCGCGAATACTGTTTTGGCGGCTCCCAGTGTCCCTGGCGCAGTGCTGCAGGCCCTCGAGACATTTTGGAAAGCCTCTTTTGAGTGATATTTGGTTAGACGTTTGACAAGCAGTGATGCAAAATAATGTACTGCGCGACAGCCACGATTCGTCAGGCTGGTCAGACTGGCTGAGTGACTTTGCGGATTACCAACATTCGTGTTTGTGTGGCGTGTTTTCAGTGCTGCTTCCTCGCTGGTCTGCACGTTTGGCGCCCAGGACTTGTGGTTCAGGGCGCCGGGAAATTTAGTCGGGACGAGTCCAACAGAACTCAGTTACTCGATTAAAGGTGAGGCACCCTAATCTCTATATTGCGCAGCATAGAATTCTGTATTATTGCGTTTCCCTAATGCAGCTTGTTCAAATTGGCGTGACTGTCCTCTTTCCATGGAGCTTCCAAACATGCTGTGCTGCATTAGTTTCTGAGAAACACTACGCAACGCTCCACACGCCACTGGGAGCAAAAGGCTGGCTATGCATGCTGCCGATGCTCTTTATGGGTTCATGCATCCCAAAGGAACCATCCTTTGCTAACCCTGCAACAACCTGTGCGTTACGCGTCCTTTGTGCATTGATAGTCGCTGACTGTGTGTGCGCGTCCTGGCAGGCAAAGCATGAAGTCCAGCTCAGATGGGGCGATGGCCGAGAGGGCCAAGGCCCGCTTCGACGCGCACTTGCAACAGTTGCCGGGTTCCGAAGGCGGTGGACCCGCCCCCACGCCTGAAGCCCGTGCGCCGCCCTTAGACGATGCTGGAAGCAGCCGGCAGAGGCAGCAACGGGGTAACGGCGTGGCCTCTTTTCCCGCCCCGGCAGAGGTGAGTACCACGTCAACCACTGCAAAGCGACGCCCATTGTGGCGTCAGGGCGGAATCAAGTCTCATAGGCTAGTTGCTGCGCAGCACGCTTTGCAGTGGGAAGGCAATGCGCTATCGGAAGGTTGACCATGGAAGGATTTGGTAGCAAAGTTTCAGGCGATATGCTGCTCGTCCAACAGCTTGCGAAAGCCAGGCTTTCTTCCAGTAAACTATTTCGCAATTTCAGAGTGTCGATCATTGCTTCTGTGGTGAAATCTAGCGAAGAGCCGTGTTTTGGAGATGTGCAGCGCAGTAGAAGACACGATGACGTCAACTTCGTAAGTGGCAAAAGTACAACTAGGGTTACATGATGTGGTCCTGTTTCAATATGAGCTACTTGATTGATGCACGATTTCCATCTTTTTGAAAAAAGCTAAACAGGCGCATAAATGCTACGCAACTTGGGCATTTTTTTCTTGTCTCACTAGTAAAAAACAGGCCAGATGACACAGTCCTGACACGGTCTGTTCAAAATCCAACTGTGTGCTTTCGGCAAATGTGGTCCCAAAAGTACACAGTTAGTACACACATTGACACAGTTTTAACCGTGCATCCTAGGAAACCGTGTAGTCTACACAGTTGTTTGAAGGTACACGGTTGAAACTGTGTCAATGTGTGTACTAACTGTGTACTTTTGGGACCACATTTGCCGAAAGCACACAATTGGATTTTGAACAGACCGTGTCAGGACTGTGTCGTCTGGCCTATTTTTTCCCGCAGATCTGCGACGTGACGAAATGTGGCGACGCCATGCCATCCAAAACGCGACTCCTGGGACGTCATGTGCCGGCACTTGACGCTGTTGTGGTCCTCTTCGGTGCGGCGATAACTGGCAGAAAAGTGCTCGCTCGCATCGACCAGAATTTGGCAGAGACAGACCCAAATACCATTCATGCTGATGCAAGATGATGTTGCCACGGTTCCCATTATTTGTCCTCAGCTGACCAGAGATATGGGCGCACGAAAATTTAGCTTTGCAAACGACGGATGTGCCGCAACATACGCCCATGCACGTATTCCGTACACAGCAATTTCTTGTCGATTTGCAAGCAAAAGCATTGACATCTTGAGACATTGCCTCATTTTCCGCAATATGCATTGGCTGTTGCACATTGCCTTTATTGGGGCTCTGCAACACAACACAACGAAATCAACCCCTTCACACTTTCGGCCCTCCTGTGAATATCCAAATGCCATGTCATCACCCGTCTGTGTTGTGGCATGAAATTAGTCCCTCTGTCTTTCCGTTGTTGTCGATTCTTCTTTCGACATTCGTATTCCTAAATCGCTGAGCCACTGACCACGTTGGTCTTGTCGGCACAAGAAGAAGGGATCTTCAAAACAGGTAGTGGGGACTGATATATTCTCCTGTTGCTGGGTGGAAGGGTACTTAAGGGGTCGGACTACCCTCTTCCTTACCCCCAGTTCGATCCCACGGTCAGACATCCTCTTTATCATCTGCACTGAACCACCTGTTTATCTGTGTTGTCCGCGCCAGGCGTCAGCTGCGGACCAGGCCACTGCCTCACACGCCGCACCAAAGATGCAGCCGGGAACGGCCCCTCGGGCCCCTGGCTCCCGCACAGGTACCACCGCCAAGACACCGAGTGGCCGCCCTCCCCGCAAGCGCCTCTCAATTCCCCGCGTCTCCCAGATGTTCATCCAAGCCGTCCAATGCACCCAAAGCCCTCAGACACCCGAGGACCAAATTTCCGGAATCACTACTCCCACGCCGACGATTAACCCGTGGATGAAGAGCGGGGCGACGAACTCAACGACGGTGGACGGCGTTTCTTCGCCGACTGCGGTCGGTCCGTCGTCCACGGACGCGGGGTATCCTGGCGTCGTCGAGGAGGGGTCGTCGGTGTGCGGGGGGAAGAACTCGACGGCGGAGTTCGGGAAGAGGTACGCGGTGCTGAGGGTGAAGGTGAAGCGGTCGTACAGGAAGCGCAGGATGGAGGTTCGTCGACAGCTGGACGAGAAGCTGTGGAAGCGGGAGGTGCCCCACGTGCCGAAGGTGCAGGCGCGGTCGGTGGACGTCGAAGAGGTCAGTGGCCCGCTGCGCCTCGAGCGTTTCGAAGGGCAAAGTGGGTACCAGCGGGCTCTTAGGCCTCAAATGACAAAAGGGGGTCCTCCCAGCGACCACCGCAACCCTACACCCGGCGCCGGACCGGCAGCAGACCGGCAGCGCACCTATTGTACAGTGGCGGCTCCGAGAGCTCCCTATTGTCATGAAATCCTGGAAAGCATCCCCTTCTGTCATGTGCCAGATTTAAATGTGCCTTCGTTTGCATCAAGGGCACCGCCATTGCATGTTGGCGCATATGAGCGCTTCAGTAATATATTCCAGCGTCAGCTATAGTTAACTGGATTTTACTTTGCTATGCCTTGCGCTATCAGTACGTGCAAACGCGCACATTGCTTATTATTGACTTGACACATCGTGTGCAACAGTCAGTATTGTTGATAAGTATACAGCCATGGTTTGCCATTGTCGGCAAGTCGATCGCCAGTATGCGATGTGCATGCACAGGTCCCCCGGAAGGCACAAAGCCCGCCGATGATCGGCTCGCTCGAAGTGGTGCCTTGGACAAACGCGGAGGAGGCCATGGCGTTCCGAAGCATCAAGGTGGAAAGCCCGGTCGTCAATGTGCTCCCAGAACCAGAGTACGAGGAGTCTTGCATAAACGCCTTTTGGTGCCTGTGGATCCTAGGATTCTTGTTCCCGCCCCTGTGGCTGGCCGGCGCGACTGGCGTTCTGACCAACTCCCAGTCCGGCTTCATCGCCGGAATGACTAACGTCGTGACGCTGCTGGTAGCCGGCATCACTATCGCAATTTTCACTGTCTAGCAGCACTCTTCGGGCCGACTTTGGAGTTGGGACGGCCGCAATGCTGGACGAATTGGGAGCGTGGTCAGTGCAATTAATTCTTTGTCTACCTGGGTGGAGCGGCATTCAGACTACCCAGGGTCGGGGATGTGGCAGGGTCTTGGGCACTGGTGTTTTGTGCGTGCGTGTGTGTGGCGTTATGCTGATGGGCGAGTAGAATGGGGCCTTCAGATTGGGATGGCGGTCCCAGGACTTGCGAGGGAAGTTGCTTGGTCAAGGTTCCCATGTGGTGGGAAAATTCTTATGTATTTTTAGGTCAATTGTTTAGGTAATTATCTTTAGAAGCTTTGTAGGTGGCGAGCCGGAAGCACGACTAATGTACATTATTTGCGTGTTGTGTTGAGACGTTAGCGTCAATTTTTGGCATAGACAGAACGACAGCCGGTATTCTTATGAGCCTTGCGTGTGTTCATATCCAATTTTGGCACTTACACAAAGAACGCACGAAAACTTTGTGACGGCTGTCGGCCAGCGATAATAATAAGGAGCCGGGTGGACAGAGGGCGAGCGCGAGGGCTGCTGAAACGATGAGTATGGAAGCGAAAGTGGGAGGATGCGATGGGCTCGATGGAAAGGTCGGCGTGGCGTCGATGGCATCTTGATCAGGCGCTTCAGGAGATGCACCAGCAGAGTCTTCTTTGTCCTTTTTTTCTGGCTGAGTCGCAAAAGCAACAGTGGTCTCAAATGGGTGCCTGAAGCGACGATGGGGTGATCTGAAATCGATGCGAGGTCTGGACTGCGTATTCGAACCCGGAGAACATCGTTTCCACTGGAGGGGTAGGCGACGATGGGTATTCTTGGAGCACGCTCTGCAGCGCGTGCGTCATGTACGACGACACTGTGTGGTGCCAGGAAGTCCTAACCCCGGATGATGTCCTTCTTAAACAAAGGCTTCGGCAGCAGTGCCACATTTGGTTGGCGCAGATTTTGAGGCTGGCAAACGTCCAACTGGACGGACGTTCAAGTGGACGGATGTCCGCCCAGTGCAGCAGACCATCTGGGCGGCCTTGCTGCTGTTTTCTGTTCCTTTCTTCTTTTCTAAACGTTGCAGGTCACTAATGATGGATAGCGGGGCGACTCGTTTCTGTGGCAGCGCCAGGTTCAATCAGCACAGCGGTTTCGACGCGAGCCTGCCATTCGCCTCAGTTTGTTGAGTTGAGAAATATGTTTGCTTTCAGTGCTGAGAGCGATAGGGGCGGCCTTGCTGCTGTGGGCTGATTTCTGTTTTTCTGGGCGTGAATGAATGGGTGGACAGATCCCCAACGACGGACTGGTGTGGCTGCCTTGCATGGGTGGAAATAGGGGAGACCGCAGATGCAAGATTCATAAGCGGAGGTACTGAGGCTGGTTCAATCTGAGCAATTTGAGTTTTTAAGTGGACGTCTTGATTTTGTACACAGCGCTGTCAATCAGAAATTCATCTCATTCTCTCATTGTATTGCGCTCATCATTTTACATCCCTTTACCGGTGCCTCGCCCTGTTGTCCGGGTTTGAAAATTGGGCTTTTCCGCACCATTGCAGTCATGTGCATGTGAATCGTCCATGATTCCGAATTCCTCATGTCCCCCCTGACAGGCAGAAAATCACAGAGCACATGCAAACTGTCGGCGCCCTTCTAACCTTGCGCTCTGGCCCGCATTGCTGCGCCCACTTCACCAGTAGAAAACAGCCTGTTTGCGATGCCAATTGCGACGCCATTTGACACAAATTGATGCCATCGCAGTCATTTTTATGCCATCTCAATCACTGTGATAGCATCAATTTGTGTCAAAATGGCATCGCAGCTGGCATCGCAGACATGCCGTTTTCTACCCGTGCTTGAAGTTCATGAAGCGTGTCCCAGATAGGCCCGTCGGCGCAATGCTGCCGCTCTTCAGGGTATCCTTTTGACAGCCACTTTGAGCAGTCCCATCCATTTGGCGGCGCGCTCGCGCTCTGGGGGGCGAGAGTTCTGTAAGTCGACACTCTACAGCATGGGGCCACTGCCTTGCGCTCTGGCAATTGACGGCACGTTCCATTCAGAGCTCATCGATGCCATCAAAGCCATTCACGACCAATTTTCCTCGCCTGTCCTGCGAGGAGTCTCTGCCGCCTTCGCCAAGGGTCTGGCTTCGGCTCTGCTCTGGGCCCTCCGACGCCATTCCGGACGGAGACCCACCAGCATTTGGCCAACATTGTGTCTCCATGGCCGAGGCGGTGCAAATGGTTACCGCACAAATGCCCAGGAATGCGTGCGCCTGAGAGCAGTGCGTGTTGGCTAGTCATACCAGAGAAAGCACAAACCCCAGACACACCGCCTAACCGCATGCTTCCTCTACTTTAGACGCATCGTGTTGTATGAAGCATAACTGGCCGATTGATTTGTGGGTGTGCGTATCCATGGATGTGTTGACAATTGTATTGATGGCTCCACCGGCGGATTGATTCATATTCCCATAAATCTCGTGGATGGTTGCATTTCGTTCCACAGGGCTCCTAATGGCCGCGCATATGGCCACCAGTTCTGCAACAGTTTTGGTCCCTCCCTTCCCCAGAGACACCGTGGCCGTAGTTCCTGCAGACTGTCTTGCTGGACAGACCCATTGGGAGGGTATCCATGGAAGAGCCCAGGAGTGCCTAATTTATTTTCGCTGCATGCCTTGAAGTATAATGAGCTATTGCGATGCAGCCACACGAGTCTTTGCCGCGGGTATGTGGTGAGACTGCTTGTTGCAGGTCGAGAGGAAATTATCGAACCACACGGCGATAATCTTCTCATAGCGGAGGTGCACATTTCCTGTCTTTCCGATTGGAAATATCGCGATATTGTCCAAGTGAATAGAATTGGAAAACCATTCTTTGGCGCATATGAGATTGGTGGAATTCTTCATGCCGTTTCCTTGAATGTGCAGGAGCTGTGCTTGGGGCACGTGCTGGGCGCATGATATTGAACCGATGGGCGGCGGGCAATGTTCGTCTACTTCTCAAATTTGCAGTTCTCAGAATTGTGAGGGCATACATTTGGTGCAATATTGCAGTTGCATTGCCATCGGCGAAATGTCCAACAACGTTTCTGTAAACGCTGATATGTTGATATTGACAAGTTGGTGCTGGCATTGCGTCAGTGCTGATGTATTGACCTTGATGCAGCGCTGTTGGCTTTGCAAACGCGATATTGCGGACACGCCATTGCATCCAATTCCAGCCCTTTTCCAGATTTAGGAAATCTGTCAGTATTTATGGAAGCAATATGCCATTTGGCATTCAAATTGCTCTTGTTTGATATGCCTGTTTCAAGCAGAAACACGGGAAAGAAATTATTTCTGAGACATACCTGATTGGTGCTGGTAACGCTCCGTGGACGCGGGACGGGCGGGGGGGAAAGGTGTGTGGGCGCTACCGGACGTCATAATAGCATTGAAATAAACAAGGCAGGGAGAGGCTGGTTCGGCCTTCACGTCAGGCACAACAAGCTGTGCGCATTGATATCTTATTCATTTTTTTACAAATATGACCCATGGAATAGTTAGGAGAGACACTAATTTGGTTGTGCTACCGCTCCACAGACGTTGAGCGTAGGAGGATCCATGGCGGGTCACTGAAGAATTGGGCAATTACACTGATATTAAGATGGTACAAATTAAACCCCTGCCCTGAGACGGATGAATCTTGCCCTTATACGCATGAGTGTTGCCCTCAGCTCCCCAATGTGTGTCGCAACCGCTAGCGCCCTTTTCCCGACATCCATCGTGCGTCGGCCAACGAGAGCGTGGCAGGATGGCGGTGGCCCTTGTCCACCTGAAAAGATGGTCGACCAACGGACGTACAATTAAGCGATCGGCATTTGTGCGAGACGAGCGGAGATATACACGGCGGGATGGCCCCAGTGCAATTCGCTTGGGACGTGCTGGCCACCGACGCTCGCAGCTTCAGCAGCGATGGAGGCTTGCTTGGCAAGCGCGAAAGGGTAGCGCTGTCTTCAGAGCCTGGTTGACTGAGCATGGGAGAGAGAAGGTTTCACTGATTAGCTGTGACATGCACGCGAGAGAGGCTAGCCACGATCCTGTTATGAAAGCGGATCTTTGCAAGTGAATTCAAAGTGCGGCAGGCGACTCGCTGCTTGGATTTGTGAGCTAGATCTGTAGGACGGAGAAACATGGCTTAGCCAATCGCAGTTTCAGCAGGCTTTCAATGTTGCCCGTGTGCCATTCCCCCATCGATGGTACCCATCGTGCCGATTCAGCCCCGATTGACATCCACAACCAAGATAGCGTTGTTGGTGTTGTGGGCGGCAATTTTCCCCTTTTCCCTGGTGCCTCTTTTGCGTTTGGCACCCTGCTGCTTTGCCTGTCTGCAGGGCAAGGTCGCTGACCCATCCCCGCCAGAAACTGGGTGGTGCTCACAGCGCGTTGCCTTCACACTAGGGAAAAAAGGGCAAAAATTCGGATCAGTTGGATGGTTGATCTGGATCGCGATGGGTCGCTGGTGTCGTGGATATGCCATTGCTGTGGGCTCACAGATCCCGTTGCCATGCATTGCCTTTGAGGCTCACATCCAGTCCGTTGATTTGATTAACTCGGCCCCTTGCTGGCATGCTCACAGCAATCGTGCAAACTATCGCAGATACCTATTCGCTTGAAGGCCTGGGAGCGAGTCGAAGGCGGCCTCTGTTGCTTGCGTTGCTGCATAGGTTAGGGAAGGCGCTATGCCGATTTTGTTTGGCCCCACCTTCCTTAGCCCCAGTCCTGATGTCGATGCAAGGGTGACTCAGAAAGATTACCGGAGAGTACCATACAACTTTTGGGTGGTTTCGAGGACAAAAACTTTAAATTTGTGCCAGTTCAGTGTGTCAGAAAATGGGATTTCAAATGCCATTCTTGGCAACGCGAGCAGCCTCAATGGCTGCAGATTGATCCATTCTGAAAACTTTTTTGAAGACCGAACACTTGGAGGAGGTCTAGGAACAAGTGCAGGGTCGTTGGCTGCTTGTCAGTGGCGTTTTGGGGCAACTTTCCCCCAATGTCGATTTTGTGTCTATTACACAATCTCTTAGCGTCACAGCCCCCCCCCTCCCCTGGTGTCAATTTGATGCTAAGCGTAACGAAATCGACATAGTGTATTCCCTTCTGGCAATCCATATCTTCTGGCGACACTAACGTCACCAGAAAGACATGGATTGCCATAACCTGTACAGCAACGCAAGCGCAGGGAAGGACCTGCTGGAACCTTCCTGCAGGTCCTTCCCTGTGCCTTCGGCCTTGCAATAAAGCCAACGCCCACGAACACCTATCACTGCGCAAGTGTGGCTTCAATTGGGCGCGGGCGCCAAACCCCAGGTTGCCCTGACAATGGTGATGCACTTTTTCCACGAACTGTGGGTCGTCAGTGTTGATGGCTTATCTCTTCCGCATTTCTTGGAAGAATTTTATAAATAGAATTTTATAATATAGAAATTTTATTATTTACGCAATGTCGCAAATTAGGGTCGAGCTTCGCGTCGCTTGCAGACATGCTAAATATGTTGCGGTATGCGAGTGACGATTTTCAGGCGTTTTTTACCCTGCGCAAATATCGGGCATCCTCCCAGTACTTTATTGCATGCACACGTTAAGGGGCCCACAGGCCCACGACCTGGGATTGGGCCGCTTTCGGGCGCACGCCCTTCCGGGTGCCCATGGGGAGCGGGGGGCGCCTCGTGGAGGAGCTGGCCGGCCACACGACCTCCGTGCTTTGCGTCCAGGCGCACCATGACGCGGCCCGGCACTTGGTGGCATCGGGCGGAGAGGTGGGAGGCGGGGCAATTATGCGGGCGGCGCAATCGCTGATTTTTGTCTCTTTGGGCAGGAATAGTGCCGTGCAATGCGAAACCCCCTCCTGGGCAGGAATTAGTGTGGGATGTTGTTTTCCGTGCTGTAGAAGATTGGGCAGAGGTATCCGAAGCACAGAACGGTGTGCTGGGCAAGTTGGACATGCATTCGTGGGGGTGGGTTGTGTGGTGGGCGGCGCAGACGTGGCTGTTCGGTGTATCGATGCGTGGCTGGATCAGAAAGGGTCATGGCTTGTGCATTCATGATACAACACACGACCACACACAGGAAAGGGGATGTGTTTGAGTGCTCCTTTTTTTGCGGATGGATTGTGCCATGGAAGAGATTTGCTAATTGCAGTGCCGTGCCTATATGCAGAGTATGCGAGAAATATTCCCAGAAGATCGCACCATGGCCACGTACATCAACCACCTCACCATATCCAAACCACATCCCTTCAGCGCTTGTGTGAAATTCCTTGCAGAGCATAAATCCTCATCACCATATCAAACAGAGTCATATGGTATGCAGGCATGCAGGGCCCCTCAGCTTTTTTCACGTGGAAACGTAACATAGGCAGTTGCCTGCCTTGCGATTTTGGCCTTTAGTCGAGGGTTGTGTAGAGTACTTTGCAGAGAAGTGCGATTAATTTCTCAGAGATAAACACTACTGTTGCATTTGCAAACAAGAACACCAAACATTTATTGTGCCTGCCATGGTGAGTGAAATGATCAAGAACCCGTAAAAGCACTGGCCATACACCTGTCAGGTTGATGCGATGCCACGCGTCGCAGAGTGTCAAACATGAAGCAGTCCTGATCGAATGTTAGCACCAATCATTGCTGCCATTTTCCTTCCTGTCAGGGCAGATTCATCTACTGTTGTGTGTTCTCTGCAAATCCGAACTAGCAGCATCACAAAAGAAGACGAGTCTGTGCACAGTAACCAATAACAAGATGTTGGAGCATGTTGGTTTCCAGCATTTTGCAGCCTTTGGACTGTGGGATGGGGCATTGTGTCCAAACCAGTGGGACCAGGAATGCCTTTGCCTTGCTGCTTGGATTTTCACGGCAGTGATTTGCCTTGTCAATGTGCACATAGTCAAGGATTCAAGCCGGCAGAGTATCATCATGAATTACATTTACTGATTTGGTTGACTGATGCATCGAGTGCATGGTGGACTGCAGGATGGGGCACTGTGCTTGTTCGACTTGAGGCTAGGCAGAGAGCCCACCTCCCGCTGTGTGGGCTTTCCAGGCAACGATGTGGTGTCTGTGGCCTTCCACACAAAACCCCATGCACTGTTTGTCGCCTCAGATTGCAGTGTAGCAGAGCTGGATATGCGCAAGACCATGGATTCGTTGGAGCAGTGCACGACCCACAGGTGCCTTGTGTTCTTCTCCTTTTAAAAATATACTTGGATTGCACTTTCCAAAAATGCAGTAAGACAATATCATTTGAACCTGTTTGCCACTGCCTGATGATGCCGTTACCCCGGTGCACCGATGGAAGCTTCACAATCTTCAGCTGCCCTGCTGGATACCTTTGCTGGCAATCATCACATTGTGACAAGACCCAGATTGAGACACCTCAAAAGGGTGGCAGTCATGGGCTTTCGACCGCTGCCAGCTGGCCACATTTTGCAAGGCGCCAATGCTCCTTTCCCTTTCGTCACTTCCTACAGCCAATCCTGGCTGTGCACAAGTGTTTGCACTCATCTATGCGGTCATCACAGGTGTATTTCACATCCATGTGGTGATTTTAGTTAGGTGTTCCACTGATTCCACATCGTGCAACAACATTATTTGATTTGGCCATTGGCTGCTTGCTTGTCTGGATGTATTGACTGTGCTGGCCAAATGCATTTGCCACAGACCACCAAAAAAAAATCAGGCACGCGTGCTTCCATTGCACTATTTTTTGCCAACATGGGCAGCAGAGCATTTGCTCTTGAAAACATGCTCAACACTCCCATTCCAGTGATTGGGGACCCAGGTGGCCAGCACTGTGGGGCAGGCTTTGGCCTCCCTCAAGCTTGCAGGCAGGACCGAATCCGATGGACAGGGGTGCACATTGCCAGTGTGTGCACATGATGGAGACAAGACGGTTTGCAATGTGGCATTCCCTGCTGGAGAGTGACAAAGTAAAACGGACAGGCACTGTTGTCATGGTACATCCGATGAATGAGAACAGCACAGGGCCAGTTCACTTTAAAGGCATTTGGGAGTCCGAGGAAGTGGAAAACATTGCCGGGAACTTTGTTGAGGAGTTGCCTTTGGACATTGCCCACAGGCACATGTTTAACGATGATGACATCAACCAGGTCAGTGTGCACCCTGGGGGCCATCTGCTCGCCTCCTGCGATGACAGTGGGGAAGTTGCGATCATCGACATCGACAAGAACACCCTGCACAGGCATGGTCACTGGCCAATATAAGTACAGAATATGGAGTGCTTGCAAGCAGTACCATGGCGATGCGTTGTAGACACTGTAGCTATGGTGCGATCTGCATCCTTGTCGCCACAAATCAAAGTCCCATAGACTGCGGTTGTCAACAAACCATGAGAAGTAAAGCCCTGGCGCCTTGTGTGCAATGATGAGCACAGTAATACCCAATGGACCAGGCGAGAAAACGGCCCTATTCGCACATGTTGTGTCCCCTTGTTTCGTGCTATTTAAAACCAGTGGTCCAACGCTGAAAGTCGTGTAATAGTACTGTACACTGTCTTTGAAAAGAACCTGATTGTGCAGTGTTGCCATACTTTAATCGGTTCCTGTCAGTGCATGAACAGGTACCTGTCGTTGCTTCTGTTGCCGCATGTCGCACGTGCAATGGCATGCCATATTCATTTCATATTGCGTCGTGTCGTTGAAATGACGTGCTGACACTTTCCAGGCTTGCCCCAGGGGACCCGTTGCTCATGTGGATGGCATTATGGATCATGATCACATTTTAGAAACACTGCAATTTTCAGCGTTTTGACAGCAGTGTGGATGTCAATGATGTGATTGTTGCTATTCAATGTGAGAGACCAACCCATATTCCAAAAGGCTAAGAACATCATCAAAACAGTATCTACGATAGTAACATCACTATTGACAAGACTTGCTTTGTTCTTACTTGAAAACTGTAGCTGCGCGGACTTCAGAATTCAAGCATATCGACTGATTGATTGTACCAGTACAATATAAATTGCCAAACAGCGATTAATTATTTGAGCCAAAAATGCATCCAGGCGCGCTGGATTATTCACCCTTAGCTCGACCTAAACGAATTCCTCAATTTCTTTCGAAGTCAGCACTCGGTTTCCACTGATCACCGGAACAGCCACCCTCCCCAGGCGTCTGTCCGGCCTCCACACGACCATCTGCTCCTCGGCGGCCTTCCTGCCCGGCGGCCGGCCGCCCCAGCTCATCACCGGCGGCCTGGACGCCATGGCCGCGTGCTGGGGCGCCTCCGAGGGCGCCGTTCGGTGGGCGGCCAGGATGGGAGGCGAGCAGGAGGGCGGGGGCGGCCAGGTCTTCAATCCGCCCATGGTCTACAGCTTGGCGGTTTCAAATTTTCAAGATGACGGCCGGCCCTGCATGCTGGCGATCGGGCGCGGGGACGGTGCGGTCTGTGTCGGGGATCCGTGCGAGAGCGGCGAGGGCGATGGTGGTGGAAGCTGCGAGGAGGGTGGGTCGAATCGTTCTGCGAAAAGTGAGAGATTTTCCATGCGCGATTGTCCACTCCGTGTCGCGCACAATAATGGCATATTTGCATTTTTGCGTTTTACATTTGGTCATATTTTCCGGGAAGTGGTAAGTCACGGCCCTTGGACCTGAGGGCGGCGAGGGGCGTTGCTCCATCGACGACGTTTGCCGACAATGATTGGTGGAGGAGAGAAGGGTGGAGCAGGCAAAAATAATTATCAAGTCATTTAATGACGTCCAGAAATGCCCTCAAAAGAACGCAGCGAACGGGGACCTGACGGGTAGCCGAAATTCATTTTTGGCTGTTAAACATTGACCTTGGAGCACAGGTTCTTGCTATTTCTGTGCAGTGCTAAGTTTTTGAATGTCATGATGTCATGTGTTTTCCGAAATCACTCAAATCGTGTATAGTTAACAATGCTAGCAGTGGAAATGGGGTAAATGGGTATTGATTGAAATCGTTAAGTTAAATTGTGAAGTGAAACGAATTGCGCTTTGTCCTAGTCGTGTTGTTGATGGCGCTTTCATCAGGGTCTAATGTTGGAAAATCTTGGGTAGATAAATGGAAGGCGCACCAGAAGGATTGAGTCGCCGTCAGGTACGTTTGCACAGTGGCAGGGCGGGACTGGGACCCTGCTGGATGGGTCTGACAATGGTGCCTGGATGCGGGCTGGCTAAACTTGCCATCCACAGTTTCCGGCCATGTATACGCAGCTCAAATCAACAAAAAGTAAAAGTAATTAGCACCGTAGAACGCGCTTAGTCAGAAAAAATCCGGTTTATGTTATTTTTGCTGCGTTCTCGCCAGGTGATCGAGACGGCCAGCATGGGGACGAAAATGGAGATCGACTAGCCTACTCGGCCGCCGCCGATCAAGGTAAGAATTGCGACGCCGGGGAACAGGCGGGCAGCGACGACGGCGATGCAGATGGATCCGTGACTGCGGATTTTCAGTACATGGTGCTCGACCGGGAGGCCGGGGGGCACACGAGCAGCGCTTCCAGCGTGGCCTTCCTGCCTGAATGCGACGGCCGCTTTGCGGTCTCGGGGGGCAACGATCGAAGGTTGATCATGTGGGACTGGACGGAGGTGTTCCAGGAGGGGGGGCGGCCGATGGTGTGGACGGTTGATCACGGAAGGAAGGTCAACTGGGTGGCCACCGGGCCGGAGGCGGGCGAGGCGGGGAGGGTGTTCGTTGCGGACGTGGGGAGCAGGATATCCGTGTACCGGTTGGAGTGATTTTTACGTTGTAGTGTTTGCTGGCGAGTAGGTCTTATCTGTTAATGTTGTTTTGCTGTTGGCGAAAGCGCATGTAAGGTTTTCGCTTTGAAGGGGCCTGCGTTCTGATATATCATGTTGAATATGTATTCTGATGTATCATGTATCATGTTGAGTATATTCAACACTCACCATGGCTTCAAATTTGGTTTAATGGCTGTTCCGCTTCACTTGCTTTCAGCCGTGGATGGCTTCGCTTTGATTTTGGGGATTGTGTGTGGAACATAGAAGGATTTGTATTTCGAGTGCTGGTGCCCCATCGTTGCATATTTGAAGCTTTCAAAGGCGATTCTGAACATTTAAGAATGTCCTCGTGTAGGGTGATTTATACGTATTGATACAAATGATAATGAGTTGATTCAATAGGAAAAAATAATTGACAAAACACAATATGTTTTGCATTATATTATGCATGTCGTGCTTAGTAGCAGAGCAAATACACCACCGCACATTGGTGATGCAAACATTGCAACTTAACAACAAGAAACTCCGCAATGTTGAAGCGCGGATTCAGACTCTGCTAAATGTACAATTCCCTGCAGTCATCCGTTGAAGTACCGTCTTGCCGCCTGCGGTGTTTCTCTCTCGCCGCTTCGTGTTCAATCGTGTACAAAGTTTACCGGCTTGAGTTATTTTCGCGTTTCCAGCATGCAGGAACATTGATGATATGCACGTATATGTGCTCTCAAAAAGTGTTATCTGGTTCTTCTTTTTCTAGTGAAAAGTGGCAAATTAACTGAATATATTGAATAGAGCAGCAGCGCCTCCTCCCCAACGGTAAAAGCGGCGCAGTTTGGAACCAATTAACACCATTAGAAAACAGCCTATTCGCGATGCCAACTGCGATGCCATTTTGACACAAATTGATGCCATCACAGACGCTTTCATGCCATCACACTCACTGTGATGGTATCAATTTGTGTCAAAATGGCATCGCAGCTGGCATCGCAAACAGGCTGTTTTCTACCAGTGTAACAAGCTGATTCTGCATCAGTTGCCATTCATCAGCTGGATCAGCCACACGAGATGCACGATTTGATCCCAGGCATTGCTGGGCATGTTCCATGCACCCCTAGCAAGTGCGATGTTCTGTCTGTGTCCAAAGTATTCAAAACTCTTCGGTAATGATACTGCAATCCTTTCAAAATGCCACACTGTATGTGAACACCGTCAGGACACGTGTGCAACACCGACAAGAAATGCGCACCAGGGAGGCGTTTTCCGCCAGTTCGGACCACCTGCCCCTTTAAAATTTCGTCTACGCAATCGTAAGAAAAAGATCTCAAACATCAATTCTCAGATTCACACTGCTGTCGATACACCCACCAGCCAAGGCCATCAGCAGCATGACAAGCAACACAGGGCGGCAAGCGCTCATGCCGCAGTGTCGGCAAAGCTTTGTCGCCGTTCACCGTAAGGTTTTTGTCCTACACATTCTCGCTGTTCGCGCACGTTCATTGCTGCAGGCACGCACAGATGAAATGGCATCAAAGGCAACGCGCCCCATCATTGCCGCATGCGTAGATGGCAAACTCCCCGGCGCCCGGCAAACGACGGCCCCCTCAGAACAGAAACACCCTCCAGGAGCGCCGCAAACCCCGGCAGCGCATCAATCTGTCCCTCCCCATTCCCCCCTCCTTCAAAGCCAGCCTCCCCATCTCGAAGCCTGCTGCCCCCCGCGCTGCCTTTGGCAGCCCAACTCCCCACCCCCGGTCCCTCCTATCGCCAACTTTTTCAGAAGGCGCCTTCCCAGGCCCGCTTTGCCGCTTGTCGACTTCTTTCCGATCACTCGGAATCGGCGCTTCATGGCCAGCCACCGAGGTCCCCGTCCGAGCGATGGCGCCGCACCTTCCTCGGGCGCCCGACTCCTGCAGTGGCTGCGAGAGCGCGGCACCCTCCGGGCCACCATGGATCGGCGGGCCCAGAAAAACGAACCCATTGTCTTCGAGGTGCGGAAGTGGTTCAAAGCCACCCATTCGAGTCGCTTGGGAGCGACGCAGCGCGGCCCAGGCGCCAACGCTGCCGCGGTGGCCAGAGATCAATGCCGCCCGCTGCGTGGAGCAATCCAGCATGGGTGCTGCCGCCAACCTGCCATTGTTGGCGCGACAAATCCGTAGCACTACGGATATGCCAACTAGGCTGCTCGCCGTGCGCGACCCAGCATGCAGGCAGGAATTGTCTTGCGTTAGGACGGGCGCGCCACGTGGACACGCAAATGTGACGCGTACGCGTGTTTTTTTCCTCGACTCCAAAGTATTGCGTCGCGTTTCAGTGTCCAGGTGCGGCACTCTTCTGAACACAAGAGATTCGAGCATTGTGCGGCTTTGCAAGAGATTCCATGCGATGCAGATGCAAATCCTGCATGCATGTTCCAAAACCGCGATTGAAGCAAATCGTGCATGCACGTTGCAAGACGGCCATCGATGTGAATTCTGCATGCATGCTGTCAAAACCGCGATCGGCACGGGCGCCGTGGTGGGAAGGATCTCTTGGGGTGGACCAGGGACACATGGTCTGCGTTGAAAGGTTGTGTTCGTCGCCGTCCAGATCGACATGCTGCTGCTGCTGGACGAGGACCCAGAGTTGGGCAACGTCCTCATGAATGATATAGGTCAGACTTGAGGCTGGCGATGTGCAATTTAATGCCTTCTTTATTCCTACAGTGGAATTTTGTTGCGGATTCTGAAAGTGCGATTCTTTAGCTTTATTCTTTATATACATATAAATATATAATATATTTATATAATTCTTTATTCTTTATATTAACCCGAATGGGTGCCTTCCCTGATTCTCCCTTCCTTTTACTTGCAGAATGTGTATGGCATTTGGATTCTGAAGTGGTTGATTGATTGACTGAAGTACTGATTGACTGATTTACTTCTCGATGGCCGCTACCGTTGGGACGCTGTTTGACTATTTGAGCTCAGCAGATACATGTGGCATTACCAGTGTGCGACTTTTTCAAGCTGCCTAGAAGGATGTTATTTCATCCATTCATTCACTTTTCGATTGGCTACGCCTTGCTTTCAGCACCTTCTCAATATGCGGGGTAACGATTTCAAACACTTGAAAATGGAACAAAATTCGGTCATAGCTGGTTACAATAGCGCGATGATATCTAACATTGCACCCTGTACTTGACAACCTGCCGGATTTTTGCACACATACAACATTGCACTAATATGGGTAAATTGACACCACAATCGCAAGACTTTCCACAATATTCACAATTTCCACAAACGTTCACAATAAATATTACAACGTACTTTAGTAAATATTATATGATAGTGCGTACAACATGATAACATATAGTAGTATGAATTGTCTTGTTATAGGGAATTTCATGTGCGATACATTCGGATTATTAGCTAAATGAATCTCCTTTCATATTTTATTGGTTTTGTGTTTTGGTCATCCGGCGCCAGAATCCGCTCGCCATGGACTCATCGATGCCATGGTGGAGGAAGGCCTCATATCTTCCGGGCGCCAAAGAGTGTGGATACGTCCCAAGGCGGTAAGCGCCACAGCCGATATCCTCCCAAATCTCTGGCAAAAGCTATCACCAGCTCCATAGGCCATTAACATCACCTATTCCCACTATTTGATAAGCATTGATAAATTTCATTGGAATTGGGCAGATGACTGAGTAATTGATATGATTGTGCAGTGCAACTGTTGCATGGAAAGTTGGACAATCTCAATTTGCGTAGAGTATAGCATTAGTATGCAATGCAGAACGCCATCATCACCGAAATCCGTCGATTGCATTTGCCATTAAAAGAACGCCATATAGAGCGTCATAACTATGGAACGTATATACGGTGTGCAATTTGGAAATGTTTTCACTGAAACTGCATGAAATAATGAGTCGAAGATGAAATTGGATACATGATGTATAATGAACATATTAGAGTGTCCAAAATACCGTTCGGAATGTCATCCGTAGTTTGACCGCAAAATCTCAAGCTGCTGTAAATGTGAACAGGAAACGCAAATTCGGTTCTTTTCGGTGTCGTCTGCCTACTCGACATCAAGATTGAGCCGTCAGAACTAATTGCGATTGTGTTCCTATCATCAGCCAATTCAACATCGTTGTTTCCAACAAACAAAACCCAGCAGGTTTACGTTTTTTGCAAATTTATCATAGCAATTATTTTCCTTTAAACACCTGCATGGAAATTGTTGCGGAAGTGTCTCCAACGTCATTCAACCTTTTTTAGTCCTGCCACAATAGCAGTGAGACATTGCAAGTCATTCATTCTACCTTTTTCCAATCCGTGCGTAGGTGCCGGTGCCATTGCTGCCCATCGAGGAAGCATGCAGGGGCGTGACCCGCCGCATGGGAAAGGCCCAGCCGTTCCACGCCCTTGGCATCATCAATGGCATGTCGCTCCTGCGCCAAAAGCTGTACTTTAAGTGCACAGAATGTCGGGCCTGCAAGCGAGAGTCGCACATATTGGAAGGAGCCACCGTGGGGTAATCGAAATTGATGGCTGCACATCGAACCAATATGAAGGGGCGCGGGACGCCACTTGTGCGATGCACACCCGTCCCGAGGGCGTAGGTTTGAGATTTAGGGGAATGGGAAGGTCGCCGTATACCCGTCCCGGGACCAAAAATTCCGTTGTGTATATAGACATCACGTCTCACATACGCGCTAACTAAGTCCAACAATATATAGATTAATGCAGTCAATTGGCGCATGCATTTCTTTTGCGTCTTGGCCCGTGACCTATGTTAAAAATCGAACTATTGATTTAAAACATATTTGCGGGTGCATCAGCCGCCGCCATGTGACTTTGAACTCGATCTGTTCCCCGCAAAATGGCTGCATTGAACGGAATCGCAGAATTGTTGAAACTAGCTCTGCAAGCTAGATAGAAATACATTTTAGGGATTCTTATTTGGCCTGCTATCAAAATCAATCTAAACAATAAGGACGAAAGGCGTGTTATGCTTCC